GGAGTTTGAACCACTTTCACCAAAAAATTTTAAACTTTAACATTGTTCATAACTTTTGAACAGTTGATGGTAGGGCTTTCATACTTCACATGAGTAGACCTTTCAAAGGGCGTAAATATTTTTTGACCTTTTGACCTTAGAGTTTGACACACTTTTAAAAAACTTTAACATTGGCCGTAACTTTTGAACAGTTAGTACCAGGGCTTTCATATTTCACAGGTATATTTCTTGTGACAAGATCTTCCTTTGGATACCAACAATTTTGACCTTGACCCTGCAGCTTGACCTGCATTTGAGAAACTTCAACCCTCGATATAAGCTGCCATATGGGGGCATCATTGTTTCACAAACACATTTTGTTTAATTTTGCTGTTCTTATTCAATGAAAAAAAAATCTATGGAGTGTAATATCGGAGGCGGTAATGGGCCGCTCCACATGTACAGTATCTTTTTGTAAAGTTTTCATGTATATCTCCTATTTGTTTAATTTTGCTGTTCTTGTTCAAAAAAAATCTATGGAGTGTAATATCGGAGGCGGTAATGGGCCGCTCCCTATGTATCTTTGTATCTTTTTGTAAAATGTTCATATATATCTCCTGAGTGAGTGTTACATCAGGTGCGGAAACAGGCCGCTCCACTTGTAGAATATTTTTTAAAATCTTTTTGTTCTTCCTCAAATAAAAAATCTATGGAGTGTAATATCGGAGGCGGGGTAATTGGCCGCTCCACATGTAACGTTGTATCTCTTTGTAAAATTTTCATGTATAGCTTCTGTGTGAGTGTTACATCGGGTGCGGAAACAGGCCGCTCCACTTGTAGAATATTTTTTAAAAAATCTTCGTTCTTCCTCAAAAAAAGAAAATCTGAGGAGTGTAATATCGGAGGCGGTAATGGGCCGCTCCACATGTATCTTAAAGTTTGCATCTTTTTTTTAAATTTTCATGTATATCTCCTGTGCGAGTTAGGCCATCTTTAAAAAAAATGTTTGGTTGCCCTCTCCCGACCGACTGGCTAAATATGGCCCGACTCGAAACTTTTTTCAACCTCCAGGAAGCAATTATTTTTTTTTGTTTTCCGGAAAATAGATTTAGAAATTTCAGCATTGGTTTTGAAAGGATCAGTGCACTTAAGCTATGAGAGTTGGATCCCGGTGCTTTGCCACTAATAAATTTCCGAAATTTATAAACTTTTGGAATTAGAATTATTAAACAATATCTTAAGAGCAGGGTTTGATATATTATTTCACATAAAAATATTAAATAATGCCGAGCGACACTGGTTTTTGCGACAGGGGTCTAGCAGTTTTGTCACATTTCTATTGTTATTCATATGCATACCAGTTTTCAACGACGTTGTTTACATCGAGCCGCAACTTGTCCATTCTTCTCATTTGCACAGAATGTGTATTTTGATTTAAACTTATACATATCCAAAGGGCAATGTTGGACAATTTGCGGCTCATATGTAATTTTTAAAAAAATTCTCCAAACTACGGTCGGGTTTGCTACTAAATTAACAGGTCACCGAGTGTCAACCTATTTTGACCTGTTTGATATTATAATCACTTTACTCACGTGACATTCCACTGTTCGATATGCTTTCATTGTGTCTATCAATGGATTTCAGGGCTGTACACACGGATATGTATTTAAGTACACAATCTGACTATATATAGACTTTTAATACGGTGAATCCTAAGATTTTTCGAATCTTATAAAACTGTATTAAGAATAGGGCAATGCTCTATTTCTTAATACAAGTTTTAACTTACCTTTCATTTTTAAACCAATCAAAAGTACTCACATTGTAGTCATCCTATTTTTATCATAACAAAGAAAAGCACGTGGTAAATAATGGTCGATTTTAGCAGTAAAAATATCGAAAAACTCATTGTTTTATGGGAAGAAGATCAAAAGGAGTAACTACATGTAATTGTAAAAGTTGCTCAAATGCAGCGTTATCTATTCTAAAGAAGTTTTTTATAACTACTGGGGTCTTCTCTTTGCACCTCATCTAGCGATGCATTGTGTGCACCAAGTGCATATACGAGTGTTCCGCCGCTGTTTCCATTACAATGTTTTGTTTTTTTTTCAGTTTTAATGCAATGCATAATACGATAACAGATACTGCTAACAGAACCTCGTTTTCCATTATTGAGAGAAAGAGAGAGAGAAATATTGCGAGGGAAACACGTAGAAATCCCTAAAGTCTATTAACAATCTAATAAAACGTACAAACGTGTGTACAGGAAAGTATTATAATACAAATATAATACTTGTATTATACAGTAACTACAAATCTCACCGTTTGTACCGGCCTGAACAACTTCAAAATAATGAAGAATTTTGCGAAAATTTTATTAGGATCTTAAAGTTTACCTTGTCTTCTTTCACTAAATTGTGTTTTTCGTTTGCATGGTATTTTGAAGGAAATTCTGGTATTGCCAATGCACGATTAGTATGTAGCTGTGTTAGATCTTGTCGCCTCTGTATTATGGTCTGCAGGCATCTACAGACACATTCTTAAACACTAGTATCATATCTGAGAATATTTGGATTGCCGAAATGAAAGAGATATTGAAGACATAAGCGAGTGATTACGTTGTAGAATTTTCGTTGACCATGTTTTTTAATCTGAAATATACTTGTTCTGTCAATAAAATGTTAATTTAAATTACAGATAGTTTGTATTTCTTGGAGTTTTCATGTTAACCTAGCGACTCAAATTTTAAGTTAAAATTTTATATTTCATTTCCGAATGTTATTTATCTATACATACATATAATAAATTATGTATCACCATTGAGTACTACATACATGTATAATTTGTTTCACTACTCGTTTGTCAGTATTACTCTACGTACTACATGTACAGTGAATTACGATTAAATGTAGTGCGACATCTAAGTCATGTACATGTGAATCTTTCTTAAAACATACATTCATTCTTTGAATTGAAAAGCATTCAGCATATAAAACGAAAAATGATAAAGCTAAAGAAAAAAGAGGGGGCATTTTTTATCATATACGAAAACTTAAGATTGATCTAATTCGGTGCTAGGCATCAAACATATGGATACGAATCATGAAAATGATCAATATGTATGGCCATGAATCATTTATTATTTGTGTGAATCATGAAACTACACAATCTTTCTCTCCTCCATTTAAATTCATACTGTAGAATCAATCTGGAAATAATGTGCAAATGTTTACATTCCACTTCCATGCGATTTAAATATCTCCGCCCATTTGCGGGTACCTTAAATTCGAAAGTGGTCCAGTTCAAATTTCCGGAATTTAAGGCTTATACATGTTCTTTTCAATGACGTTGTGTGGAATTATAGCAATATGTTTAACAAAAAATTCGAAGTATAAATATCAAGAGCATATGTATGCACAATAATCATAGATTAATTTAGCAATATAGTCTAATTTAAGGCTCCAAATGACACTCTAAAGTGCACTCATTCTTTTCTTTGAAAAAAAATTTTCTCACCTACCTACCGACTCAATTTTCTCTTTCTGAGTCGAGAGAGGGCAAGCAAACATTATTTCAAAGTTGGCCTTGCATATTTTAGGGAAGAGACTCAATTATTTATCTGGAAGTTGAAGTTGAACTCTCTTAGAGATTTCTTGGGTGTTTACTATACACCTGAATGTAAAACTTAACCTTTCCTTATACTATATGACCCAGATATGAACATAAAATATAATATGTACTTATTGGTAATCTTTACATATAAATATAATTATACAAACACATCACTTTTCCGTCGTCGAGAAGAATCTAGGAAGTTTTTATTTGAATATTTTTCTCTACAAAATTTGGATTGCCTATTGTCGCCCTCTTGCTAGTTCTGGGTTTGGAATGATCTCACTTAAACATGAAAAAAGATTTTAATTTCTTGGATTAAAAAAAATCTCCTCTGTGTTCTTAGGAGGCAAACATTTTTACTGACTTGACTTCATTCCTAGTTATCTCTTGAGTTAATTATAATTAATAAGATCCCTTAATATAAATAAATTTAATTTCTAAACATGCTGATTTGAGCTTAATGTAGTTAAAATTTTCTGAGTTAATACTTGTTTGGAAGTGTTGAGATCTCATATAATCAGATATCAAAAAAGCTTAGCAATAAATATAACAAAATATAAGCATGCTAACATTTAACTGCTATTCGATGTTTTTTTAATATGTAAACTAACAAATCTAAGCGTATTTTTCAGTTCTCCATGATATGAGAAAATCATCAGTTATCAATATCGATCTCTCAATATGACAATCGTGTATGAGTGTTTAAATTAGTATGTTTTTTTTCCTATTTCTGCCACATGCGTCTCGATTTTCAAATTTGATACAGGTTCGTGAACAGACAAAAATCGATATAAAAAATTGCTTTTATTGACAAATTAACAGAATGATCTTTTTCATTCACACAAAATCAATAACGAACCATGCTTTATACACATACGTACATGCATTATATAAAAGGGTCTTTTAACTATTTCAAATCGAAATGTTCAATTATCTTGATAATCAGGCAGAATATCTCATTTTTGAATTTGAGTCTTATCTGCCGTGTTTAAGAGATTTCAAAAAGATCAGACAGTTGTTTGCTAAGTATGCAATTAGTTTTACTAAGTATGTGTGCTCATACTCCTATCCGGTAAACAAAGTAGTACGCAGCACTGTTTGCATTCTATAACCGCTGTTGTCTTTCCCAGTATCTGCGCCCATTGATTAATTCAACAGGCACAAACTATCAGCTGGTGGAAGTATACTCGCTATAAGTCTGATAACAATGCACTCCTTATAGTATATCAACAAAAGAAGTTTACATAGTTTGAAGGTTTATGAATTATTAAAATGTTAAATGAGGACTAGAATTTTTCGTGCTTCATATATTCCTTACTGTTGAAAAGGGTCAATGCGTAATATAGCGTGATTGCACAACTATTTAATAATATTTCCTTCTTATTCATTCAGTGCTGCGAACAAAGACATATGTTCCTCGTTATGGGGAGGTTTAATTCATGACATGGTCGATCCAGGTTGTGGCAATACCTGAACAAAGTACTACGTGTAGTTATGCTTCTTGAATGTATCGGTTAACATTTTGTTTATTGACACGTTCAATTTACCAAACAGAAAGCATATCGAATGTATCGCCTGAAGGCTGATTTACCGATTTTCAATTTAAAAATCTGGCATTCAAGTCAAGAGGATACGGAAATAGTAAATTACTTGCAGTGTTTCGTTTCAAAGTTCACGAGGTTGTGTGTGAAATAGTTCTTGAATTATTATTGATAGCAAGAATACGGGACAGATATTTCAGGGAGATATAATAATGTAGAATTTTGGATAATAAACATGGGATGCTTAAAGTCGCGGTTTGCCTCCAACAATAACAAGGAAAAATATGTCCAGCCGGAAGTGCCAGTACTGACAGACACACATATTGAAATTTTGGAGAAATCGTGGGACTCGCTAAAGCATGATATTGCCAAAGTAGGAGTTATAACCTTTATGAAGTGAGTATTTATAGCTAGTCTAATGAACTTTTTAATTCTCAAATTCTTGGATTTTTACAATTTTATTCAAAACTAAATGCGGTACAAAGGTATAACCTTTTTTGAGAGGATTTTTTTATCAAGTTGTCATATCGACACTTGAATGGGGGGAGAACAGAGTCAGGTATAATGCATGTCATTGTGTTATTATTGTATTGTCAGCAACAAGACATTGCAATGTGAAATTTAACATGTTGTAAGTAATGTGAATCTTGAACCTGAACTTAATTTCTATTTAAGTTTCAATGGTCTTTTTATTCCCTGTAACTTAATATTATTTTACCCAAAACGTTCATAATTCCTTTTTGTAATATTTATTTGCTCTGAATAACAGGTAAACACCCGAAGGGCATTTATAGAAATGTTCTTGCTTTCCGGTCAGTAAATTGTAATTAATAGGGAATACTGGTATCAGTAAATCTCGATTTATAACTGAGTTTGCCAAGGACATCTAAAACCCATTGGTATGCTTCATTGGCGAAGTGTTTATGTAAGAAAAATTATCAAAATGTATGTTTCTCGAAATATCAGGAAAAATGAACATATGAAGTTTTGATATGTATCTGGTATTCCCTTGCATGTAATAGAACACACTATTGATATAATTATAAGCAGATGTCATGCGTGCATGTTTTTTATATAAGCCATGTATTTTTCAAACCGCATATTCACATGTATACATATACATGTAGGATAACATGGATTGTGTAACCGAATATTTTACACTTTTGTGGGTTTCTTTTTTTCGAATTTTTTTTTAAAACTTCGATGTTTACTTTTTTAAATTAACATTTTTTAAAAAAACTTTTGAAAGGTCCAGAGCGTTGAGAAGAATATTGAATTTTTTTATTGCGTTTAAACGCAATACCTACAAGATTGCGTTAAATCGCAATTCATTAAGTTTAAACCCAAAAGATTGCGTTAAAATGCAAATGTGCGCGCTTACACAAATAAGTATTTTGATTAACTTTTGCGATTATTTGCAATACCTTTTCCGTTAAAACACAGACAGTAATTCGGCGTTTAAACGCAAAGTCAGTCTGTTGCGTTTCTACTCAATAATCATTGATTTTGAACAATTCTTTATACTGTATATGTATTTTTATAGATAGATACATAGAGAGAGAGAGAGAGTATAATTAAAGTAGATCGGACACTCTAGACCTCTTCATGAGTTCTTTAAGATCTGAAGATACGTTCCTCAAATATCTGTTTTGTATCTCTTCGTAATATAACAAAAGGTAATCATTAATTGTTGTCCTCTTATGATTTCTAGATTGTTTTCAAAATGTCCCAAAAATAAGTACACCAAAATTGCGATATTGGCCATTTGAAAAGATTACCAAAAGTAATGTAAAAGTAAATATAGGAAACACCACCCAAAATTTGTTATGTATGGTACGGACAGACGCACGGATAAACAGGAAGTTGACATCGGATTCGTACAAAAATTTATCCCACCATATGGCAGGCCTTAACAAACCCTAACAAAGAAATACTATGGTAAGCTATAGTTAACTATAGTTTACTATAGTTAACTATAGTACCAAAGTAAAAACTTTGATTTACTATAGTAAAAACTTTGGAACTTTGATTTATTATAGTGAAAACTTTGGAACTTTGATTTACTATAGTGAAAACTTTGGAACTTTGATTTACTGTAGTTAACTATAGTAAACTATAGTTAACTATAGTTTACTATAGTATTTTTTTTGTTAGGGAAGTGTGTGCAAAAATTTCAAGCATGTGTGATGAATAGTCGCTGAGAAAACTGTGACGAAAACTTTGTTACGGACAGACAGACACACAAGGGTAAAACAGTATACCCCCCTCTCCTTCGGAGTGGGGGTATAATTAAATTACGCCTTTTTGTTTATGCTTTTGGCATGATAATGGTCTATTGTTTGAGAACTGTAGAACAACGACATCCTAATAAATATCAAACGTATCTTTAACTTATTAGAACCCAACATTCTTAATGAAGCATTTGGTCATTGCTTACATATTACAATTTACAATGGTCGCCCGCGTGGCGCAGTGGTTAGAGCGTCTGCTCTAGAGTCGCGAAGTAAGGAGTTGATCCTTACGTCGCAGGTTCGAATCCCACTGTGGGACGTGGAAACCGGTCCTTCGGATGAGACCGTATAAACCGAGGTCCCGTGTCGCAGTAGGTGCTGGCACGAAAAAGATCCCTCACTGCTCAATGGCCGTAAGTGCCGAGTATAGGACAAAATTTGCAGCTCTCCACCGGCAAGTGGTGGCGTCTCCATATGAGTGAAAAATTCTCGAGAGGGACGTTAAACAACATACAAACCAACAAACATATTACAATGAATTGTGAATGCTTCAGCGGTATCTTTTAGTAGGTACAAGTAAAGCCCGCCATATCATTTGTCCACCTCATGCACACATCATCCAGTCTGTTTGAATTTCAATGATTTTAATTTTGATATATCGATTAAATTACCTTTATTTACTGTATACAAACATAGGAGGGGAGGAAGATTACATATTTCATCAAAGTGTATGTAATTGTTATATTTTGTACAACTTACCCTGAACCCCTTTGTGGGTTAAACTTTGTGACCATAATGTGAGAAACCTCTTTTTTAGGGGGGAAGGGAGGGAGTGATATCTTGATTATGCTTCTGTTTATCAATATTTTCTTTTATGGCCTTATAAAACGAAAGACTTATCGAAAACCTTTACTGTGCTTGATATTGGACATCTTAATTTATTTTGAAAAACAGCCTAAAGAGTTTGACCTATGAGTCATCTACAGTTATTTCCCTTTGCAGGAAAATTATGTTATCGCTACTCCTCAGAAACAGTAAACCGCAGAGATGATAAACATTCACCAGTGTTTTGTAATAATGAAAATAGCGAGCAGTATAAAGCTCAAAAGTCCATTTAAACAATACAAATTTGGTGCAGAGCAAACACGGACCTCTAAAAACATCAGATGTGGAATCAGGCGCCAAAGAGGAGCAAGTATCCTCAGACGACCAGCCACACTCGCCGTGTTCTATCCAATGTTGCATTATGCGATTTTTCTTGGAATAAAAAAGACTTAACTTTTTTGAATGACGATGAAATCCTCTTGGTATGTCGTATATGTGTATTAAACAGGGAAATATTTTTTTGTTTCTAAAGGTTTGATGTAGAGTAAGTAATCGAAGTTGTAGCTTAATTTAAGCGTAATTTTATATAGGATATTCATCAGGATCATCCTCCGATAAAAAGCTCCAGTTTTGAGTTGCCGTGCCTCATTATCGACTCGCTCAAACTGAATTGACTGAACTACGAAATCAGATAACACACCCGAAAACATAGGCACATTTATATTTACAAAAATAGCTTAAATTAACTAGGTAAAATATGGTAGAAATACATTAGTCTAATGCTCTGTTTACCTCTGTGGGCTCTTTTGACGTCATAAAACCACAAAATCAAGAACGATAAGCGGGTAAGAAAAGTAACAAGTGGAAAAGTTTTCACCTTTATTTTTCAGTAGAACAAAGGCCAAAAAATATTACTACTCTTAATTTAACATTCTTTCATATATAGCTTTAGGTTTAAAAAGTGAAATCCTAGTGTTAAGAATCGTTTCCTATGACCTTTAAAAGATGATGCAACTCAAACGATTTTTTCTTTTTCGGTCTAACTGATTTTTTTTAAACACGATTAATTGTAGAGACATGGGACCAACTGCAATTGGGTTCCCGCCTTTCGGCCAAAGGACAAGTCATTCAAAATATGATAAAAATTGTGCTTTTAATATCTGTTTTGTCTTTCAGCACATACTGCATGTATATATCACTGCCTCTTTAATAAATCGTTTAATACAATTTTCGACTCAAAAATCTTATTCCTATTGTAGTCAATGCCCTTTACTCAAAAATCTTGTCAGCGGTTTTCCTCTGAAATAATAAAATAAAGAGACACAGAAACTTCACTAGTGTCTTCAGTATCTCAAGGCAAAACTGTCTATGTGAAAGACGTCGAACCATCCAACATGACTGATGTACAATGTCTCAGGTTCGATGTATCATTTTTTACACAAGTCTGGAATGTCTGATGTCTCAGTGTCCGGTTTGAGTTTTACTATTTGGACACGGAGTCATGAAAACGTTTTTTTAAAGACACAGTAGTATGTAAATGAGTATAATAGAACCGCAGGTTTTGCGGTCTGACAAAATTTGGTTCAGATCTGTATGGTTCTCGAGTACACAGGACGAAATGTTCTGTGTGACCCAAACATCTTTCGCATAAACTGGCAAAACAGGTACTAAGGGCTCTCACATAACGTTACATGTATGTGAGTTAAAGCCACCTTATGTATTGTGCGTATCGTCGAAACCTAAAACTGAGAACTGCTTGTCGTACTAGAAACATTAAGTTACATTTGATTTCTGTCAGTTGTGAGCTACTTATGTATGAATTACACGTTGTATATTTACATGCATCTATATTTTACTGTTATAATGATAAAATAAATTGTGAAATAATTTACAAAATACTCATAGTTCAAAAATATGTTTTACATATACTATAAATTGAACATGTTGAAGGAATTAAAAGGAGTTGGAATTTTGAACCCTTTTGGTTTCTATATGATTGTGTTGAAAGAGATAAATGAGATTCCATTCAATGTAAATTACTTTTTCTTGCGATCTGTGGAACGTTTAAGGTTCCCTTTCCTTTAGAACAAGATCCTCTACAGGTACGTGTATTATAAGTAATAAAATGGCATTGACATCACGTAGAAATGTATGAAATTGCACTTCCATTTATAGACTTATAATCAATTTTATTCAAATTAAACTTTATTGATTGTCAAAGATAATAAAATTACTATGATATTACCGAAAGAAATCATTGACACACACATCAAATTTGATCCACTTTTCTGCAAAATGTAACATATATTGGAACAGTCTTTGTCATATTTTAGAAGAGCG